CCACCTAAGCTGACCGAGGCGCGGTCGGCGCCGACCGGCTGGAGACTGGAGGTGAGAGGTGGGGAGTGGAGAGAGCGACGGAGCTCCGAGGGTGCGCTTGACGGTCTCCATGGGCGGGAATGGCAAGCCATGCGTTTGTAGATGATTGTGCACTTTGGTACCTTCTAGTTGGCCAGGATGCGCGCGCACGCGACCGACACGCGCCTCTTTGCTGGTCGTCCGGCCGGGTTGGTGACACAACACGTCAAGGGCGTCGTACAACGGCGACAAGCCATGCGTTTGTAGATGATTGTGCACTTCGGTACCTTCTAGTTGGCCAGGATGCGTGCGCACGCGACCGACACGTGCCTGTTTGATGGTCATCCAGCCGGCCTCGTGATACAACACGTCAAGGACGTCGTACAACGGCGACAAGCCATGCGTTTGTAGATGATTGTGCTCTTGGGTACCTTCTAGTTGGCCAGGATGCGCGCACGCGACCGACACGCGCCTGTTTGATGGTCATCCGGCTGGGTTGGTGATACAACACGTCAACGGCGTCGTACAACGGCGACAAGCCATGCGTTTGTAGATAATTGTGCACTTCGGTACCTTCTAGTTGGCCAGGATGCGCGCGCGCGCGCGTCCGATTTGGTCGCCTATGGTGACCCAATGTCTGAATTTGGGATACGAATCGATTGAGACCTTTGCCGAGGTGATGTGACACCGTTTAGCCGTTGTTTGCACATGATGTAGCACTTCTTGTTTGCACATGATTTAGCACTTCTTGTGCTCGAACTGGATGGCGTACTATTTTGACGTTGCACGTGATAGAGCACCACCGAAAACTTACAGATACTCCTTTGATGCATGAATACCGCTGCGTGCAATTCATGTGCGTTCATGCGTGCGCACGCGCACGCGCACGCACGCACGCACACACACACGCACGCACACACGCGTGCACGCGCACGCCTGTTCTGCTACCCTTACTCGCCTGTAAGAAGTGAATGCTATCATTTGGCGACTTCAAAGGAAACCCACCTATTGGTTTGTTGCTCAGGAGCAATAGCCCCGGGGGGTATTTTTGTACTACTTGTAGGGGAAGCGCGAGTCCGGAGGTATGATTTTTGTGTTCAGCCACATGGTCTAGCATCGGGTCGGTCCGACCCAGGAGAGTAGGTCATGATAGTGGCTAATATGGCCGCGAGAAGCGCCGGAGAAGTTGGTTGCTCTAGAGCAACAAAGAGGGGAAGTGAATTCGCGGACCGGTATGCCTCTATGGTCTTTGTTGCTTGAGGGCAACAGAGGTTCATACCGAAACGCCCCATCGAGCTTTTGCCTGGCAAATGTTCTTATGGGCGGATCTCAATCTCTGGTGGGTACCCTTTACCAGCATTTTTTTTTTTTTGTGATCAACTTGGTGTGGTTGCTACAGAGTGTCAAAAATGGCGATTTTACGGCGGTTAGGACCCTACATTCGCATGCTAGTGGGAGACACCAATCCGCTCGCACGGACGCACCCCGGGCTCAAAATCATAGTTTACATCCCTGTCTTGCATTTGATACCGAGTTTGCTAAAATCGGCAGAAAATTGTTGTGCCCAGGGCCTCTAGAAGCTCTGATGCTCAGGAGCAACAAAACCTTAAGGGGTTAAACCTGTCAAGGTTCGATCATATTTCCATTCACATCAAGAACCTAAATTGGCTACCATTAATCCAGAGGCGAAATTTCTTCATTCTGTGTTGTGTATCCTAAAAACACCATCATACCTCTTTTCCAAGTTGACCTTTGTAAGTGATGTGCACAGTCGTTCGCTGAGAAATGATAAACGCCTTTTAAGGCCTCTGCCACATACAACCGATAAAAAGATAGGTGCTTTTGGAGTATTTGCTGTGAATCTGTGGAACATGTTGCCTTCATCAATATCTTTATGTTCATCCATTCCATCATTTTAAAAAAGCTTTATTCACACCTTGCTGTAACTAACTTACCTTTAATTTAATCTGTTCTAGTTTAGTTAATTCCCTTTTTCCTCCGGTGCTTAAATGCATTATTTTGTAAATAATCTGTGAACTGATCGTTCAACTTCCGGCAGCCACTGATGTACAGCTATAAGACTTTTTAGTCTTTTTGGACAAATTTTCAATAAATAATTTTCAATTAAAT